ATGAAAAAATTCGAAAAAACCGAGTACCTCAGTGAACCGCCAGCCTTCAGCATTCGTTTTGCACTAACTTTAAAAAGTCCTAATGTAGCATTACCGAACTGTAAACTAACAGTTTTATTACATAGGGAAATTTATCCAAGGATAAGTTCGAAAAGCCTCTCCCAACCGTGCAACATGTTCGCTGCAACATGCTGCAAAAGGAAACTTCCTTTTATTTGTTTACGCATTGTGTGGAACTTGTCACAGATCCACTGAGTATTTTTAGGGTAGAAACCTGTTGCTTATTTTTTGATGAAATTACTTCCCATCTTGATTACTCATTTTATGAAATCTTTCTATTCACATTCTTAATTAAATTGTTTTAAATTAACGGATCAAAAGTTTTCATCCACCTCAATTCTTGCTCAACTGAACAATTAAGTCATTTCTGCTTCAAGTTTTTAATTGAAAATTATGAGAAAATTACTATCAACGGCTAAGTGCGTATGTGTGTTGTCTGCTGAAAAGTGTCGCTTCGCACAAATAAATGTGTATACATAGCTGGTAATGACTCTGGCAGACACCCAACCTTCATGCGAAACATTGACGAACCGCCGCACTTTCTAAGCGAAACTTTTTCATTGCCCTCGGAGTGCAACTAAGTGAAGACCCACTTTTGGTGGCAAGCACTGAAATTTAATATGTCAGTGCGTGTGTGAATAGAAAATTTAATTACTGCGGCTTCAGATTGGCAACAAGGACGGTTTTGACATGCAGGGAACCTTTTTTTGTAGGCAAAATACTGCTCTGTAAAAAAAAACTTTATTTATAGATTTATATGGAAATTCTCTGAACCTTTGAAATAATTTATAATTTGAATATTTTTTTTTTGACTTTATGAGTATAAGCACATAAATTGGATCTTAAATTAAATTTATGTCATTTGTTCATTTTTTGAATCAGGATTTAATAGTTATACGCTAAGAAACAATAATTGAGTAATACTTGAGTAATCAATGATGAATTATTAACCTACAATAAAATATCTATTGTCCTAGCTTCACTTTAAAGACTCAACCCCAAATAAAAAAGTAAGCAGACACTTAGATAATTTAAAGAGAATTTAACAGGGTGCAACTAATAAAAAGTTTTGCGCCTAAACTGTTTTTGGCTGACAAATATTTTAAAAGCTTACGCGCCTGTAGAAACATAAAAATCAAGCTCGGTTGGTTGTTGCTGGGAAAAAAATTAAAAAGAAAGAGCGAAGCAAACTTTTGCAATCGCTCATGGGCTGTCAGACTTAACGGTAAAAGGAAAACCGAAGTTTTTGTTTTTTAATTTATGAGCCACAAACCATAACCTGATTATGAAGAAGACTGGTCAGCAGCTGAGGAGTTTGAATACCATTATCTAAAGTAATCAATTAGGCCAATATTTAAAGAAGGCAATAACTTTTTGTTAGTCCTACAGTTCTCCAATGTCCGTTTATTTTTATGGGAAATAGATTATTCAAAAATCCCTCAATTAAATTTTATGTCCGCCCGTTTTCGATCGAAAGTCCACAACATCCTTTTATAGCTTGAGAAATGTTCATTTGCATTTTTATGATTTAATTTTCCAAATGCATTGCAATCAGCGGGAAATTGTCTATATTTATGGGATCCTTCCACACTTCCGGTAAATATATCATTAAAATCTAATAAAGAGATTTTACGTCTTTGTTTTGTTGTATTAAATGTGTGCCTATTTATAACCAAAAATAAAACAAAACTTTGAGTTTTTTGTTTATACTATTGGCATTTTTGGTTGTTGGTGAAAAACTCACATTATGTATGTATAATGAAATTATTGTGAATTGAGTCATGCATGTGGCAAAGAACACATTCATAATATAAAAATAAATAAACACAATTAAGTGATTACTATTACTTTGAACATAAATTGGGTTAAAATCAACTGGTTATATGAAATAAATTCAATTATTTTTTAATAATACAATAATTTTATTATATTATATTCCATGGCAAAGTTTATTTGGAAATATTTCCGCATCCGCGTTTCCTTTTGACATAAATGTCAAATAAACATTTTTAAGCTTTATTGCTGCACTTAGAGAGTAAGGGACTTTTAAAAAGTGGACTTCGCCAGAGGTTTGCTGAATGGCTTCGTTAATCTGCCACACGTTTCCTATTCGTCAAATGGGAAAATAAAAATAGTTTACGACTGCTTGGCTTTATTACTAGCTGCTGACGAAATATATTTGAAAGCTAACGAACTCCATAATATTTATATAACAAAACGAAAAGTGTAATTTAATGCTCTTCGAAGACGGTTTACAGACTGAGAACCAAAGAGGTTAAAGAGGGGTTCAAGTTCAAAGAGTTGGTAATAGAGAGATCCAAGCGGATTTATTATAATATTTATGTTGTACTCCAAACCTGTCATAATAATTTCAAACTTTATTATATTCCTGCTAGTTCAATATGATCGATTATCATACCATCACTTCCGTTAATTTGTGAAATTTTTGTTTATGTTTTTCTGTTTTTCACCCTTAAATTTGGATGCTTATTTGAATAATTATATACTAGCAGAGTGGCGCAGTGGAAGCGTGCTGGGCCCATAACCCAGAGGTCCGAGGATCGAAACCTTGCTCTGCTAAAGTAATGCTACACTTTTTTTTAACTATATTATTTTATATAATATATTAACATTTTTTTTATATTTTCTTTATCAAATAAAAGTTTTATCCTCCCTAAGTATTCTATTTCACAAGTCCAAGATCACGTAAGAACTATTTATTTGTTAAAACGCAATGTGTGTTTTTAAAGAAGTCAGAGAATGTAGCTTCTGGAAATGCAAAAGTCCCAGACATTTCCCAATGCCACTCACAGACAGGATTCGTCTTTCTGCTGCAGATTGGCCGGCAAATGCAAATTGATGCTGAAAGCACAAATCTTTAATCAGGATTTTATTCCGCATTCACCTGAATGTTCATACGTACAATATAATCGTATGTCTGCCTGGGATTTTTTTATCTTTGGCTGCAATTCGATTCTGGTTCCCTTTTCCTTGTGAGACGCCAGTAATTTTATTGCTGCCTTTTGACTGCTCACAAAGGCAGTTCCTTGGCTTTCAAATCGCTTGCCGATAACATTTTCCATTCGTCGGCAGAAATTTAACTTAACGGGCCACAAGCAAATCGAAGTTGCGGCAGTTGGATTTCCCAGTGGGGAATCTTAAACTGATGAACCATTCCTTTGAATGAATATTAAATCATGTCTAAAAAAAGTAACCTTTTTGAGGTACTAAATTTATGTCTTAGGTGTCACAAATCTCTCCAAATAAAAGTTCTTTAATTCATTTTAATTAAAAATGAGTAAAGAAAACTTGGAAAGTAGGAAATAGCACTGGATGCACTGGATTTTCCCTAACTTAAATCTAGACCATTTTTGGCTTTGAGCAAGCCATGTTTACACAATATTTTTTACGGACTTTGTTGTGCTGCCTTCTACCCTTAACATTTGTTTTTGTCCACCTGCCAATCGTAAGCTTTTTTAGGTCAGATGACCGGCGTTCTGCGGTCAAAATGCAATTGTTTTCATCTGCTGTCCCAGGCCTTAAAGTGTGATGGAGCCATCTCGTTTTTTTCGCAGCACGAGCACATGCCGTGTGTGCACAATTAATCAAACAACGGGCAAAAAACAGACTGCAAAAACAAGAAATATTCAATTATTCATATGCAATGTTAACCCGAATGTGTGGCACATAACCACAAACAGGCGTCGCCCAACATAATGTTGATAAGTGTAAATGCCATCTGTAAATGTTGTTCGTGCCACGCCCATTCGAGTTTTGGGGGCTGACAAAAAATTAAAGTCAGAGTGGTTGTGACATAAAAATTGAGTGGGCTGATATTTATGGTAGCGAAAGGGAAATAGCTTAATTTGATTGGAAGGAAACTAATTGAGTGTGTCAGGTGTCCATTGTCTTTTCAGATTTATATTTTTGAAGTAATAAAGATGTAGTGGTATCTTCCTTTTAAATATTAAATTCTATCAAACTTCTGCATTGTCCCAAGTGTAAGAATGCGCAATTTAACTATCTAAATTGCAAAAACCTGGCACATGATGGAAAAAACGTTAATGACACCACTGGGATGTAGCGCCAAAAATGGAAAAACGAGAAGGAAATAGATAGCACACATTGTGGGTGGTCACAAAAACAGCATTAGGTGAAGGGTTCTGCAAAATTTGTTGGCCATGTGGGTAAACAAGAAAGTTAATTGCTTGCACAAGTACAAAATGCGATAAGGAACTACATGCAAAAGTTATGAAATAATTAAATGTAAGCTGATTGCTCAGGATATTGGACAATTGTTAACTACGATGAGGTTCCTTAAATAAAAGTTAAAGAATTCACATACCATTTTAGTGCTTAGCCTTCCTTTACATTTGATCTATTATTTTGAAGACTTTCAGTGAAATAATTGTAAAACAAAATATTTGTGTGACCTTAACATTCTGCTATGACAGATGATGCAAGGCCTCTAGGATTGCCATCCTTCTTACTAGTTTGTAAGTCTACTATCGCAAGTTCATATAAAATTTACCGCCAGGCAGTAAACTGGTAATACAAAATTGTACCATGTGCAGTCGTAAATAAATTATTCATGGCCCAAAAACAGAGCTAGTCCGATGGAAATGGAAATGGAGTTGCAATTGCAACAGAGCACATCGAAGTTGAATGAATTTTTAGTACTTTGGGAGACCGAAAAACAATAAAAAAGATTTTGTGGCATGGTTTTTGTTTCGCAATTGGCTGAGCTGCGAAATTCAATTGACAACAGGGGCTACACTTTGGGATTCGATATTCGAAATGCCGAAAAGCAGGCGGACCGTATCACTCAAAGATGAAATGTCATTGCACAAAGCAAAATATTCTGTACTAAACCGATGACATTTGGAAATCAGAAATGCCAGTTGTGCATAGGAGAATAATTGCAGTAGAGAGTACCTCATCAATTGGATACAACCACGGACTAATTGATCCATTCACTGAGAATAAGATGCCCACGGAAACGGATCCTGTGCCGACCACCCCGGAACTCTATTGCCTGTGCCGACAGAGCCGTGCGGATGAATTTATGATGTAGGTGGCGTCGGTCAACCCATATATCCTTGTCTCTGACCTTGTTCCATATCCTGTTTAGCTGCTGCGACAACTGCAACGAGTGGTACCATGGCACTTGCATCGGACTGAGTGCGGAAGTCGGACAGAGCTATGACAGCTTCTATTGCCTCAGATGCCGGCGCAGGAACAGACGGCTAAAGTCCACATACAAAAGTGATCCATCCTGTCCTGATATTCCGAAGGAGGAACCGAAGGAGGATCGCATGCCGAAAACAGCCAGAATAATCAATTCAGCCATGAATCGGCGGAAATCCATGTGCGGCTCGTTGGCAGCTCTTCCGGAAAAGTCCAAAGCGAAACCTCCTGCGGCTGCCACCAAACCTCCAAAACGAGGCAACCAACTCTCAAGTGCAGCGACCAAAAAACCAGTCGGAGCTGCAAAGAAGGCGGCAGTTAAACCAGTCAATGGAGCTGGAAAGTTGGACTCAAAACCAGTCGAAGTGGGCCGATGGATATATCCAAAGCCAGGAGCCAAGAAGTCGGACTCCAAGCCAATCGAAGTAACCAAGAAGATTGATCCAAAACCAGCGGCGGCAGCCAAGAAGATAGATCCCAAACCAGTCGAAGCCGTCAAGAAGATGGATCCAAAACCAGTCAAGAAGTCCTTCGAATCGAAAGGAACGCAATGCGATTTGTTTCGTGAATTGGCCTCGCAATCCAATGATGATCAGAATCCAAGTCCACCGGGTAAGTCCGGCAAGAAGAGGGGCATCTGCTTCACCTACAACTGCGATGAGAGGGCTCGACCGGAGTCTAGATACTGTTCCGATGAGTGTGGCAGCTTCACCGCCCTTACGAGAGTGTTCGCCTCCATGCCGCAATTGCTTCCTGGTTGGGGATCTGGTTCTGATGGATCGAGGTCCAAGGATTTGATCGTAAGAACGCTAATTTAGTTACCATTGATGCAGAATTTAATTTAAATTATTTCAGCAGGTTTTGAGCAACAGTCAGAACAACATGCTCACGGAAAATGATACGGAAAATAGTCATGTGTCAAGGAAAAGTCCACAGCCAACTGAGCCGGAAAAGAAGGCAGAATCTGATGCTAAAAAGGCAAAAGGAGATGATAAAGGAAGACTTGATTTTTCCTCCAGAAGGAAGTCGAGATCTTCGCGACATCAAAGTCCCAAGCCGGTAGACAGCCCAGCCAAAAAACCGAAGCTCCAGGATGATTTATCTGTAACTAAATCCAAAAGCTCAAAAAAATCAAAGACGGAATCCCATAATTCTGATTCTGAGTCACCACAAACTACAAACAAAACTACTTTAAATCGCCGAGCAGAGAAACGATCTTTAACTCTAACTTTTTCCAAAGAATTGGAGATTATTCCCTCCAGACGTTTAAGGATCGAGTCTGTTAACAAAACATCTAATACACTACCTAATTCGCCAAGCCACTTGCCTGAACAAAAAACACAATCAATACAATCAACTCCTAGGGTTTTAAAAATACTTAATACCCAAAAGGTAAACAATACTTCCTCAAAAGCAGCACTTGATCAAAATAAGAAACTTACTCTATCGAAAACCCCAAACATAAGTCAAAACACAAGTCCATTCCCCTCGCCGAAACATACAAAATCAATTTCTGGGACTGCCAACCTAGAAAAACCCAGTAAGGTGTTTTATTGCGAACCAAAATCAGAAAACTGCGAAAAAATGAAGACGATCAATCGCTTAGTTTCTCAACTTTTACCCGAGCAGAAGGCCCTTTTGGCCAGAAAGAGGATGATGATGAAGATAGCCATGGAACAGCAGCTACGAGTGGAACCAGGTGACTACAAGGAGGGCAAGTCCAAGGGTCCTCCGATAAGAACTTCTTAAAACACTGAACAACGTACCCATAATTAATACAAATAAATCACATGTCACATTTCGTCTTGTAGACTGCAAAGCAAGAACGAATCCTTTCTGCAGCTGCTGTGAAATCAAACAACCTTTTAGAGAATAAATCTTTGAAAGTGTCACATTTGTTGACCAACGAAAGTTTCAATTTTGGCACGTCCCCTGGGCGTTTACGTGATGTGAACCTTCCATCAAATTTCCATCAGTCAATGGTTTGGAACAATGGCACAAACAAAAAAGCCAACCTAAGCTTAAACCAAAACTAAAATTTGCGTCTCTATTCTGCATTCGTGATTTCGGGGATTTTGTATAAATATTTTATTACTACACTCAACGCATTTATCTTAGTGGAACCAAAGCAAAAAAAAAATCGAGGGAAATGAATTATTTCGGATGGCTTTTGGGCCACATTTTGATTTGTTTTGGCTGTTGCCGATTTTTCACACGTTGAGAAAGTTATTTTGCCGCCCATAAAATTGATATATGAGTCAGCTTTTGTGGGTGTCCTAAGGATATGTTTTCATTATTCAGTTGGTGCTTTTTTATCGGGGCTTATTGGCTCTAGGAATGTCATTTGCAGCATTTCCTTTTATTTCATTATTCATATCTAGTTTACCTACTGCGCCAATCATTCATATGCCATGTGTTACGGCAATGAAATAAAAAACCGTGACAATGATTGACAGTTTTGCGCATTTCTTGCATCGCAATTGAATATTTTTCCAGGCCCCCCCTGAGACTGTCGTAAAATATGAACATAAAAAAGCATTGCAATAACTAGATATGGCCACTAAATTTTATATTGCACAACTGTCAATTTCCAGTGCAAAATAAAACCGAAGTCTGGGCAAGTTTTATACCCAATTAGGGGACCATTTGCGCGGTTCATTAAAGTTTGATAGCTTCACTTTTAGTCGCGGTTTGTTTTGAAATCCGAACTTCGTCTGCTAACTTTTAAGCCGATTGCAGAAATTTGAGTTGCGCGGATTTAATTCTTGCAAAAAATATTCTCTTTACCGTCAAGTTGCAATATGAGATTTTAGTCTTTTCGTCGCCTGGGTAAGCTTATGTTTAATTTTCCACTCAACAAAAAATATTACGTTACTCCCTCAAGAATGTTTTGTATACTTTCTGAGTGGGAAATTGTCTCATGTGCTTGCTTTGTGGGAAGCTGAAAAGGGAGTTCCTCGTTTCCATCGCTCAACACAAATTGAAACTGCCTCAAGCTGTCCTTGGTGTCTTATTAAAATTTTACCATATTTGCGTAACTGTGTTTGCGAAAAATGTAAACATTTGGATAAAACTCTCCGACGGAGTGCATAATTTAATTTACCTTTAGGGAAAAGCCAATCAAGGTGGGCTCTTTACATATTTTTAAAATCGATTATAAAATAATAAATAAAATCTAAATTTAATTGACAAACTTTCTGAGTATCAAAATAGTTTTTATTCGAATTTTTTTTTGCCGTTTCTTAAACTAGATTTATTTATTTTGTTTAGTTTCTGAACTTTTTTAACAAGCCACGAACTTTCCATAACTAACGCTAATTCCCGTGTTGAATTTTTCAGCGATTTTATTGGTTATTTATGATGGGTTTTTGCTCAAGCTTTTGAGTGGCATCCATTGCTTTGGCGCCCTTTAAGCAACCACATGACACCATAACCCGTCACCAACTGTTGACATCGTCCTTTAAAAAGGTTAATTGTGTCGTTCTAATGTCTTTAGCCATCCATGTGCGTGGCTTACGTGTTTGGGGTTCGAAAGAGGGAAAACAGGGGAGCCACAAAAGATTTGCCACCAGGAACACGTTTTGTTTCAGTTTCTACCCTCAAGACAGGAAAAATGCTTTCGATCTACGTGATGCTCGTCCCTCTTTGGTTTCGCTTAATGGGGAGTAAATGGTTTTATTTCTATTTACGTTATGTTGCAGCTTGAAATGCTTTCAGACGAGCACATGTTCTTGGCAGCATTTCGGTTGCAGCTATATCAAAATTTCTTCCCAATTGATTTTGAGCAATTTTGATAGACTTCAACAATATCTGACTAGAAACTTCTTGGCTTTGAATAACTTGTCTAAACTTCCAATTCGAAATTGAACAAATAAAAAACGCTTCACCAACTCAAAACTTAATTTTCCTTCCACTCATCCCAGCAAGTGTGTACAAAGTTTGGTCCTCCATATGAAGTTGAAAGATGTTGAGAAGCCGGGAATAGAATTTATATTTATTGCTCTAAAATAAGTTTTACTAGTCACGAAACGGCAGTGAAATTGGTTTCAAAAACCGTTTAAAAGGTTTTTAAGTCTGAAAAGTACATGATAAAAATAATTTATTAACTAAACATTCTTAGAAAAGGCTTTTATTGAGTAAAAAATTTAAACATATATTTACAAATATTTAGCAAGAAAACCTTTCTATTTCTATATTTGAGTAAATTTATAATTAAAATTGGTGTAAGGCAGGTAATCTTAATTTGATTAACACTCTACAAAAGTTTGGAAATTATTTTTTAAAGAAAAGTTCCAGATTAGGTCAATAGTCAATCGAATATGATAGTTCTACTCAGGAGTTGAGCTATTTTAATGGCCCTTGCTTCCTGGCCATACCTCAATAAGCTGAGAGTCCTTAACTTACTTCCCATCTTGATTAGCATTCGTCAGTTGTTTGCCCGTTTTCTTTGGCCATTTGCCCTGTTTTTAAATTTCCGTTTCCGCTGGTGGTGTCACCTCCATGGCAATGTCATTTCCGTCAGGAAAAGGCGCCTGGGAAGCCATCAGCCTGAAAACTCGTCATCCTCGACGTCGACGTCGACGTCCGTCATTGTCCTTAGCGCTTCCGCGTCATTTCCATTTACAAGTCCTACGCTCGTGCTCTTTTCCCGATTCTATTTTCCGGCTGGGGGGCAGCGGTTGACATCTGGCATAGTCGGCACGTTGATGATGGCATCATAAAAAGTGCCATCGACTGCAATATTTCCCAGCTGATTTATTAATGTTGACATTCGAGGAAGTCTGTTAACAATGCCCCTGGCCCCTTTAAACCCATTGTCATGGAGTCTTGCGTCTTGAACTTGAACTTGAGCAAGTAACTTAAGGAATTTATTTACATTTCAGATAGAAGTATAATGAAGAATTTTGCGCCGTCTTCATTCGCTTCACAGCCCTCTAATTGGTTTCCTCATTACACATTTTTGTTCTCTTCTTTGCTCTTGTACCTGTAATTAGCACGTTTCCGTTGGAAATTGCAACTGCCTTCTAATTATGATGGCTGTTTGAGTTTGAGCGGAATTTAAATGGTTCATAAAGCGATGAATTTATTTTCAAGGCTTTGAATTGGTTTATAGGGTAAATTTACTTGAATTGAAGTTATTGGTTTTAAAAATCGAAATCAATATATCCATAAATTGAAACCTATATTGGAAACTTTAAATATTTATGTAAATTAAGTGAAACAAATAATACAATTAATTAAGTTTGTCATTTTTCAGTTTGAAGCTGTGTATATTTTGCAGAAAAACTTTCTTCTTACAGAGAAATAAACTCAAGTACTCTCCCTTTAATATTATTTGCTCAGAAATTGCATCTTAAATTCGCACAAGTCACGTTTGATGCACGTGGTTTTGTCCTGTATTCCGAACACGTGATCGGAATCATATTAACAATAAATGATTGTTTTAAATAGTTTTGTTGTTTTTTCTGTTTTTGATTATTTTAATGTTAATTATGGAGTATCAACCCATGCCAGAGTATCAATACTTTAAGCTTACTGTATAAATTGATTGTCAGACATTTTTCTATATTAAGTATTGCAATCACGTGTTCGGCGGAAGGACGTGATAAAGCCATACATCACTCGATTTGTTAACCCCAAATTGCCCGTTTATTATCGCTGCGTAAGCCACCTGAATAACAATGTATCCGATTTCCCCATAAATACATAATTTAAAAGCGCCAATTCATCAACTTCATGGCTCAATACCTTTTTATTTACCTTGATGTTTCCGTTCGAAAGTCCTTTACATACATTACTCCGCACACATCAATGTCTGCTCATGTGTTTTTGGCCATATCAAATTTATGCCCAAAAGACAGTTTTCCCCTTTCAACCGCCTTCCTTTTTCATCCATTCAATGCCAATCTCCGCCCCATTTTGACATTTTTCTTTGGAAAGGATACGCAACAGGAAACGGAAACGCCGATTTGTCAATCGTCTGCATCAAGATTTATTTGATACACGAGAACCTGATTTCGCTTTTGGGACACGTGATTTTTTTGAAGTGTTTATGGATCAAGGCGATTCGTAACTGAATCACATGTATTCTCCACGCAACGATTTATTTGAAGGCCTTTTTTTATTTGCTTGTTGAATTCTTTTCATTATTTTCCACCACCTAGTTCAGAAAATTAGTGCTCAGAAAAACCGATCAATAAGAGCACGCGCATGACTTCAAATTGTTACCATTTTAAAGTGTCAACTGAAATTAGGTAATCATATTAACTGCTTAATGTATTGGCACCTGAACTGCTAACTGAAAAATACACATATGATGTCAGGAAAGTCATTAAATACTTGTTAAAATATTCGAAAGCAAGTGCAACGGTTTAGTAAACTTTTTAATATGCAGACTTTAAGTTGAACGAGTGAAAAATTGTAAGGCTTAGATTCCTGAAATAGTTATTTTATAACACCCTTATGTAGGAAAACATTATTAAAATAATGCTTGCATAACCCAATTGTTAAAACACCAGTCGCTGAATAAATTAAATCTTTATTTTGTGCACTCAATATTAACAAATTTTGCACTTAACATACATTAACTAATGTTCGCTAGTAGAGGCTTGGTTTTTAAATTAACTTAATCAAAGGAAAGCTAACGAAAACTAATCAACAGTGGGTTCCTAATGCGCCTTGGCCTTGTAGGTGACCTTCCAGACTTCGAACAGGCAGATCGTGGAGTGGAAGCGGTAGAAAATGGCCAGCGGCATGGAGATGTGAGTGATGATTGTCCAGCCCCAGACGCCGAAGAACTCCAGATGGGTCTCACGGAACACGGCTCGTCCCTTGATCAGGGTGTTCACAAACCAGATGGCGATGTTGGCCACCAGCAGGAACGTGATGATCTCCCTTCCCGGCTTCCTCCTCACCTGCTTGGCCCCCTTGCACCGCCGATGGCTGGCGTGCAGGATGAACATGGTCTGCAGCGAGGTCTGCACCACTCCGAACACCTCCGCTATAATGCCCTCCACGCGATCGGGCACCGTGTCCCACTTGGCGAAGTAACTGCCCAGGATGCTGAACATTCCGTACAGGTACACCCCGGTCTGCGCTACAATCAGCAGGAGATTGTCCAGATCCATCGAGTGGTGCTCGTCGCTGGTGTCCTTGATGTAGCGCAGATCGCGCATGAGGATCATGCCTGTGAAAATATTTAATAGGGAAACAATTAAAAAATTGTGCTCAAGAAATTAACATTTCAACATTCTTAAAAATTGATAGTCCTCACAGCCAAAGCTTATTTTCTGACTAGATAATTAAATTCAAAGCCATTTTCGAAAGGTTATCTTATCGTATAGCTTCCATAGAAACAATCGGAGTATTTAAATCTTAACCAAAATAGTAAAAACTAGTATAAGACTAGAACATGGAAATAATAAATTTATAATAAAAATGTGTAAAATATGGTAGTTCATTTGGAAGACATTTTTTAAAGATTTCTTTGGTAAATTAAAAATATTTTATATCTGGTACATCATTTAGAAACATTATTAGATATAATATAACTTACCCGTTATCACAGCCGATGCGCACATGAAGTACATGAAAGTCTCCCACAGAGTGACCTCCTGAGTGGCCACCAGTTCGTACCCCGGCTGGGTGTACAGCACAAAGTACATGATCATGGAGATGATGGTCATCACTATAATCATGATGCCGAAGAAGAGTCCCTTGTGCGACTGCGAACAATCCACGGAGAAGTGATGGGCGGGCTTCGCTTGGACGGGCTTCACGGAGTTCTTGCGGGTCTTGTCGATATCGGGAATGGACTTGACGGTCTTCCACATCTCGAAGAGGATCACGGCGCAGATCAGGGAGTACTCGATGGTGCAGGGGAACAGGAAGGGGGACAACTGCTGGACCAGAGCACCCATGATCGTGGTGCGGGAGCAGCCACTAAAAGCAGCAGCCGTGGGCGAAGGAGTCACAGTGATGTTCGCTATCACATTGGTCACATTGGTCAGCAGGGTGTTGTTAAGGGAATGCTGATGGTGGTGGTGCTGGTGCAGGGACTCATTCACCGCCGACCAGTCAGTTCTATTGGCACCACTGTGACTGACCAGATCGTGGGCGGGATCCACCTCGTGCTGGCTGATGTGGAATATCTCGTGCTTGGTCTCCTCCACCAGGACATACAGCCACTCACACAAGTTGGTGGCCACCATATGCATGAGTCCGAATCGCGAGGTCACCTTGTGCCGGGCCATGTCCATGTAGGTGGTGTTCAGGAAGATGAACTGCACCTGGGCGATGCACAGCACCATCCGGCAGATGGGCGTGATGGCCACGAAGACATCCCGACATCCGGGATGACCATTCAGCTCAAAGAACTGACCAAACTCCAGGCCAGAATACACCATGGTTCCAATGGCAAAGGCAATGGCTCCCACTCTCAGATAGAAGCTACCGAAATGGGTCACCTTGTGCTTCAGATGCACATTGCTGTTCTTTTCATCTGGAAGTATATACATTCAATAATAATATCTAAGATTTCAATACCCATTGTTCTTACGAAAGTCTTTGAGGGCATTGAAAAGCGATCGGTTTCGAAAGGCACTGATGTACAGGAAAATCACAAAGAGTATGCTGCCCACATAGAGATACACATAGAATCCCTGGTACACATAGGTGGGTATCTGATCGGATATAACTTCTGTGATCGGCAGACAAACGCCGAGGAGTACCAACAGCTTGCAATATGTGGCCGACAGCGCTGAACTTATGGCATCGCTGGAAAAATATTTTTATACAAATTAGTAATTCTTAATTTTAATATATGTTAATTCTATTTTACTTACTTGCCTGTGCGTCGGTTCTTTTCCTTCTGCTGCTTGGCCTGAAAGCTTTTGGCTCCATTGTCGAAGAAGGCTGTGGATCCATTCCTGGCACTTGTCGTACCGCTCTGGAAATTAATAGTCGCTGTACTGCCACTCGCTGTCCCCTGCAGGTTACTGCAAGAATTTATAAATATTATGTAGAATTAGGGAATAGAATCATAGGGAAGCACCTTAATTATACAGGATAAAGATGGAGTTTCAGCCTGATTTTTATACCCTTGCAGAGGGTATTATAGACCTCTCCGACCCTATAAAGTATATATATTCTTGATCAGGATCGCGTCCTGAGTTGATATAAGCATGTCCGTCTGTCCACCTGTCTGTTTCTACGCGAACTAGTCCCTCAGTTTAAAATATATCGAATTGAAACTTTGCACGCAGTATTTAAGTCGGAACGGCCGGGATCGTCCGACTATATCCTATAACCGCCATATAACTGATTGATCGCAAATGTCATAACTTCGGTGTTCTAAAAGTTAGGAAGTTGGGATTTTTTATGGGTGTTATTTTTGGCCAACCAATATAATTTTCAGAATATTCTGAAAGGGTATATCAACTTCGGCTCCACCCGGAGATAGCTTTCCTTTCTTGTTTGTTTTTAAAAATAATAATAAATAATCTTTGGGCCATTTAAGGCCCCAAAAAAACAAATCCCCAACCACATTTCGGTGCACAGAATCTTTATTTGTATCCTCGTCCACAGTGCGACCTGCCTAAGGCGAACGCGATGCGTGGCGTTGGTAATGCGGCGACGAGCGGCCGCGTGAAAAGGGGGAACGGGAGTGGGTGCGGTAGCGGCGGTTGTAGCGCGATCTTGACTTGCACTGCGAGCGGGAACGTGAGCGGGAACGGGTGCGGGAGCGGGAGCGGGAGAAGTTCATCGAACGGGAGCGGGACAGGAAGCGCGATGGGGAGCGGGAGCGTGAGCGAGAGCGAGAGCGGGACGGCGAGTTGTGGCGCTGGCGGCGATTCACCGGGGAGTAGCGGCGGTAGTGGCGCCACGGAGCCTTCAGCATCCTCTCCTCGAAGGCGGACACCGTGATCCGCTTGCCGTCGATCTGGCCGCCGTTCATGTTCATGATGGCGCAGGCGCAGTCCTCGGGACGGGCGTACTCCACGAAGGCGTAGCCACGCCCCTGGCCCCCATGGTAGCGGTCCATGGGAAAGTCGACGACGGCGAGGGCGCCAAAGTGGCCGAAGATCTCGGTGATGTGCTCCTTGGTCACCTGGCGGGTGAGTCCCTTGATGTGGAGACGCACAATGTGGACGGGCTGGCGGAATCTGGCCACTAGGCTGCCCTCGGCGTCGCGATAATCAAAGGAGTCATCTCTGGTTCCTCCACCACCTCCTCCTCGTCCGCCTCGGCCTCCTCCTTCTCTTCTTCCTCCTCTGGTTCCTCCTCCGCCTCCTCCTGATCCTTCGAAACTACGTTTGCGCTGCTGTTTCCACTGGTAGCCATCACTCCGCTCATCATCCCACTGACGCTTTGGTGCCGGACCAGTGGGCGTGGTAAGTCCACGACGCGTTCGCTCATTGCTGGAAGTCCTAATCTTGCTGGTCTCCTTCGATGCCGGTGGCTTGCTGATGGTGGGGGGGTTGACGTTGGAGTGGCTCGGTTTGGGATTAACAGGCTTTGCCAGAGCTTTCGAAGAGGAGCTGACTACCGGGGTCTTGAGCTGGTTGGCGGACTTGCTGGCCATGGCATTGGCAAGGGTTATCTTCGTGCCGGTGGAGCGGGCACCGCCGACCTGGATTTTGCCTTCCGAGGAGTTGCCCATCGCCTGGCCATCACTGGGCATGGTTATGGCGGTTGGAGCGGCAGTGGGAGTGGCGGTGCTTTTGGTGACGGTGACGGTGATGGTCTTTGACTGGAAGACGGCCTGGTTGTGGCTGCTGGTGGCCGGGATGAGGTTCTGCAAGCCGGAACCGGAGCTGCGCGTGCGCGTCTTGCGGTGATGATGCTCCATGGACGCCGTTTGGGTAGCTGGCTTGGCCACCGGAGCATGAGCATGAACATGACCATGGGCATGAGCAGGAGCAGGGGCTAGAGCGGGAGCCGGCACGGGCTGCGGGTGCAGTTTCGGTTGCGGATGCGTGGCGAGGACTGACGGAATGGGAGCCGGCACGGGCAGGGGAATGGGGTCCGGTATCTGGATCGCCTGCGCAGCTGGGGCCTCCGCCTTGATCTCAAGTGGCGCCTTGGCGGGAGGAGGAGGTGGCGCCGCGACGCCCCTTCCCCGAGGAGCGCTTTGTGGAGCGGCCGTGTGCGGAGTGATGGTGGCGGCTGCCACGCCCACGACGGCGGTGCGAGTGGCTCGAGGGGCGGTGGTAGCGCCGATGGCGGTGATGGTGCCGATGGCGGCAGCAGGATGGCTTCGGATCGCTATCGCTGGAGGAGCTGCTGCTGGACGAGGAGCTACTGCTAGAGTAGCTGGATGATGCGGTGGAGCTGAAGCTGGAATCCGAGTAGCTGGACTCGCTGTCGCTCCAATCGCTGCTCTCCGTGGCGTTCGAGGGGGTGGGCGACATGTTCCTCACCCTTGAACCAGCTCCTCCACCTCCTCCCCTGGCGGGGATTACCGCATTGCGATCCTTACGCTCCCGACGATCCTTCCTCAGCCGCTTTGTGGGCGGCTCAACCCCGTCCTTCGCCATGTTCCCCTTATCTTTCGGCATTTCTTGAACCTGCTTTCTTTTATTGCAAACAAATTACACGTTCAGGGCTTGATTTTTTCGGTGCTGCTGTTGAGTTCCTAACACGTCGGGTGGCTACCTCCAAATGAAAATGGGGAATGGGCAAATGCCTACAACTGTCATCCAGGAAAATTCAAATAGGCAAAGCTACTAGATTGGAGGATCTGGATTGCCACCTAACAGTTGGGATAGAAACTACATCTCTGTGCTAATGAATTGCTGAATCTTTCAACACTGCTGTTAAATCGATTAAAAGAATTAAAAAGGTATCATCATTAACAATCCAAAAATACTATTTATCTACATTACAGGAATTTCCTTAATACTTATTATTTAAATAAGTAGTGGATATATTTAAAAAATATATATTGGGAAGTTGGGATTTTCTATGGGTTTTATTTTTGGCCAATTAATTTACAGAATATTCTGCAAGGGTATATCAACTTCGGCTCCGCCCGAAGTTAGCTTTCCTTTCTTGTTATACCCGTTACTCGTAGAGTAAAAGGGTATATTGTATTCGTGCAAAAGTATGTAACAGCTAGAAGGAAGCGTTTCCGACCCTATAAAGTATATATATTCTTGATCAGGGTCACTAGCCGAGTCGATATAGCCATGTCCGTCTGTCCGTCTGTCTGTCCGTCTGTCCGTCTGTCTGTCCGTATGAACGCTGAGATCTCGGAAACTATAAAAGCTAAAAGATTGGCATTTTGCATGCAGATTCTAGGAGTTCCTACGCAGCGCAAGTTTATTTCAAAAAGGTGCCACGCCCCCTTTAACGCCCACAATCGCTTATATACGATACATTTAAATATTTCGGAAAAGTAAAAATGCAGTTTTATTGTGTTTATCAATACCTATCGAAATGTAGAAGAAATTTTTCAAATCGGACCATTCGTTAAAAAGTTATGCGTGATCAAAGTTTCTATCTCCATCTCCCTCGCACTCCCTTTACCTGAGTAACGGGTATCTGATAGTCGGGGCACCCGACTATAGCGTCCTCTCTTGTTTTGTAATGAATGTATAAATGCGCATTTAAAGATGTTTCTACTCTTCTTAAAAAATATTTTTATATTGTATTTAAGCCGGGTCAAAAGTTTAAAAACTGCGAAAAATGTAAAGCCTATGAGAAAAATAATTTATAGTTAATAGTGTTAATTTATTATTTGATTAGAGTATTTTCATTTAATTAATTGGAGTGAGTAATATGTATACGTCAAATTTTCTGTCATATAATTAAATTAGTAAACGATTATGACGTCGATTATGTTGAGTTAAAAATGAGTAAGTCTTATATAATTTGTCCGAGTTTTTAGATTTTAGTTATGCAACCAAAAAGTACCCATTTTTGGCAGTCCTTGGCGACAGGAACCCGTTGCCGTCCTTCCGTCCGTAGAGCGGAGGACGCTGAGTGAGGATCTCCTGGAGGAGCAGCGATGGTCGGCGGGACACCTGCAAGGTGCAGGCGGAGTCATCGCGGTGGATCCCGATGGTGGGCAGTGGGAGCAGGGCCTGCCGCTGACTAGCGTGCTCCACGAGATCCAGGTTCGTCTGGGACTTGGCCAGCGGTGAGATGGGATGCGGCGACATGACCGGAATACTATGGTGCCCGCAGTGGTCACAGGATGTTCGGGCGTATCGGATCACCTGATTCGAGGTGGCGGCCACGGAATGACGCGGAGTTCCGGGTACCGAAGGGGGCAGCGAGTTGGGAGGGGATCTTGAGAACGAGGCCGACTTCTTAGGCACTTTTATAGTTATATATTCACTGGCATCGGAGGATCTGTGACTGCTGTTTCGGAATCGAGATAAATCAAAGACTGCTTAAGGACACAATCCTTCCGGCGAGTGGCACATATACACCCGAAAATCCCGACACCCTGCGACAGGTTCAATGCTTTCCGATGAACTAAATTTACTTTTCAAACTCTTTATTCAGCTGGTTGGTATTATCAATTTTAAGTCTTCAACCTGACCCTGAAGGAAACGCGCACTTTCTTTATGTATTTTGCAGCTTTGATTGATTTTTGATCGATTTCTGCCCGCAAATTGAGATATTATCACTTCGTTTGCTTATAAAACCACGCGTGTTCCTTTGGAAATACCTCTAATTTGTATATAAGTGGGTAGATAAAAGTGGGATGGTTGTCTCATCAATCAAGAGATAGACAAGTCTTTATTATTTACATGAACATTAAGTGATCACGTTTTTCTTTGTTGCCCGCAATCAGTGTCTGGAATTTGAGCTGTGGCTTTCATACACGTAAAAGAAACGACAAAAAGCTAGTGTCAAAAGGATGACATCTATATCGCTTTTGCAAACTATTTTGATTAGATATAAGGTATTATTTTGTATGAGCATTTTGTAAGCGATTTTCTTTAAACTTCCGCAAAACAAGGCGGACGGCCAAGAGAAAAACTGTTTTGTGCAGCTGATAACCTATACAATCAATTCCATGTGGATTTGGTAAATTTTATTTTTTGAGCGTTTTTCGCATTTTTTATAAGGGGTAACACTTGATTTTTTGCGAAAATTGGATCAAAATTAAATTTTTTAGCTGAGAATACCATTGGATTGGAAATTTTGCAACGAATCCAACGAAGTATGACATTCCAAGTTCCGAACATTATTTCCAAGGGTTTTGATTAAAAAACTGAAAAATGGAGCTGATTTTTTTTGGATCTTGGCCATCAAAACATGTATTTAAAAACATTTTTTTAAGGTTTTTTGGTGGTAACTTCACCAAAATAGGACGCACAGCCAAAAGAATGACTGTTTTGTGCAGCTGATAACCTATACAATCAATTCCAGGTGGATTTGGTAAATTTTATTTTTTGAGTGCTTTTCGCATTTTCTATAAGGGGTAACACTTGATTTTTTGCGAAAATTTGATAAAAATTAAATTTTTTAGCTGAGAATACCATTGGATTGGAAATTTTGCAACGAATCCAACGAGGTATGACGTTTTAAGTTCCGACAATTATTTCCAAGAGTTTTTATAAAAAAACCCAAAAATGAAGCTGATTTTTTCTGGATCTTGGCCATCAAAACATGTATTTAAAAACACTATTTTTAAGGTTTTTTTTGTGGTAACTTCACCTAAATAAGACACACAGCCAAAAGAATGACTGTTTTGTGCAGCTGATAACCTATACAATCAATTCCATGTGGATTTGGTAAATTTTATTTTTTGAGCCTTTTTCGCATTTTTTATAAGGGGTAACACTTGATTTTTTGCGAAAATTGGATCAAAATTAAATTTTTTAGCTGAGAATACCATTGGATTGTAAATTTTGCAACGAATGCAACGAGGTATGACATTCCAAGTTCCGACCATTATTTCTAAGGGTTTTGATCAAAAAACCAAGAAATTACTCGATAGCTCGCAGTTGTTTGCCTTATTACTTGATTTAACTATAACCTGTAGCTATATATATATAAGCGCAGTGAACGCTGTCATTAATTTTCGGGTATTAAAACTTCTGCTGGCCGTAGTTAGCTAGCGTTCTCATTTGACTTTAAATATAATTTAATCGTGTATATGTGCCACTGCAGTTGAGAACTTTGATCCGAAACTAACTCATTTTCTTTCGATATCACATCGTGGTGATAATGGACGCGTTGTTTGGTTCTCCACAGATTAATCGGTTCATCGTACATATCTTTCGATTTCAAGTTAATTAACGACATTGCAAGACCGAATCACAATTTTTTTTCAATTCCCACTGCTGACCCAAGCAGATTCCAAGCACTATATGAACCGATCGATCACCGATCTCCAAACCGCGATTTTCCGCACCCTTACAGACTCGTGTCAGTGGGAAGACTGAGGCGTTTTTGAGGCACTTACTCCAATTGTCGGAGCTATCGGCCAGACGATATTTGACTAACTGATTAGCATTGTTATTAGCCTGCTATTTTTACCGTACGAATACGAGTGTGATCCGTGTGTGTAAATAAATATATTGCCTTAATTTATAAGCCTATTTACACTTCATCAGTCAGGCCTGTATTATGTATATGCTGTATATAGCGTATTTCGTATATACCTATATCTTATGTATTTTGATTTGTTTTGAGATCTATAACAGATCCGATAGTAATATCAAGTCATCATAGCAAGTTGTCAATGTAGGTAATTATGGCAGTAAACATCTCTGGTTTTCTATATCAGAATTAGCCGGTTATCTCTGCGACATCGCCAGTCTAGATCGCAATGCTTTTGCCTCTTGTTTACTGGGTCAACACTGTTTGTCGATCTCAAGAGCAGCAAATATTTACCCACATGAGTAATTTTGTTTTCTTTTTAGCTTCCCAAATTATTTCAAAGAGTTTGTTAATTGCAAATAAGTGACGTTGTATTTGGTTAAATATATACCTTTACCTAAGGCTTGTGGTTTTAACTAGGGAAAAACCTTGAGGCTGACTCATCGCATTAGTGAAAGTTACGTGATATGTGTTAAAATATTAAGCAAAATATTAAGAAAGACCTAACACATCTATAAACGAATGAGAGAGGCAACTTTAAGTGTGAAAATAGTAAGCCATATTTAATCAGTTATATGTATAACGAAAATTCACAAGTCCAAGTAATCAGATCGACGTCCATTTTAATTAACTAAATAATGAATTATCATAAATTACCATTACACAACCAAAAAATCGTGTAGTTAAAAAAAGTTTTGTTTTGTTATTTTAATTTTAAAACTTCTCACTTAATCAAATATGTATTGATCGGTAAACTTATTAAGTAACTCTTCTTAATAATTAAATTTGTTTTATTTTAGAACTAATTGTACCTGAAAGTAACCGTCGGCATTCTTTCGTATTGAATTCCACTGTTACGTTCCACCATTAATTTGGACACTGTATATTTTAAGTTGTTGTTAATACTTTTAATTCACGTACAAATTATTTATTGCTTTGCAAATTATTTGGGGACGTTTGTATTCATGATTCTTTATCGAAACCACCCGCTAAAAAAGCTGTGCAGATGGCAGCACAGTTCTTGAAAAACTAAAACCCAAACCAGACATCGATTCTTATCTTAGGGGTCTTCCTCATGTTTATTATACTAACATATACATAGGCAACGCCCTGGTACGCGTAAATTTGTGGTTAGTTAATACCCAGACATTAGCAAGGTTTCCACTTTGGGGCGCATACCCCAAAACCAAGACCAAGACATTTGTCGTCGTTATCTTTTTAAGGGTCACTTTTCCGACCATGGATATTAGCTGAGCAAGCGCTTTTTTCAAATGATTACAAAAAAAAAATGTTATTGCCTTTATCAACTTTGTTTAAATCAGTGCAGTCATATCAGACGGCGCTTCTGTTTACGTTTGTAATCAATAACCTCTATCAATATTTGCCAATACATATACATTTTTGTTTTATCGATTCTACCTTAATATTCTCCACTCTTTGGACTGTACGATAAGAAAGTTTGCAGACAACAACAGAAGTTCGTAATTACTAAAATAAAATGGCCTGTAATTTAAAGATAGTTTAAAGCATGTCAGCTGGTTATTTTTTGATTAGTAATGTTCAACTCGGAAATGCGTAACTATTTCGATTATTCACTATTCATGATTCATAATTTCTGCCGTTAATTTTTGGTTTAATATTATTAATATTCAATATTATTTTATTTCAAAAAACTCATTTTAAACATTTTGGAATGCCTTTGTCTCATTTTTCTTACTAATTGAGCTACCACAACTAGGATATTAGCGAGGTCATGGTTATAAATATGTACTTGGCGAGCATCTGCTGCACAAACCTTTAACACACGTCTAGAGATTCCTCCAGCTGGCCTCCATTTCGATCTGTGTATAATTTGTGCGACAAACTTTGTCATGTGAGCTGATGCAGTTAGTAAAACAGCTGCGGTTCCCGCTTCAAATAGTGCCCAGAGTGTGAAAAGTTCCGCTCGCAGGAGCAGGACACAAGCCAGGACCTAAGCCAGGACCTACGCCAGGACTGGAAGTTTAACGACACTCAAGAAAAATATACCTAAAGTTTCTGTAACCACTTTAATCTTAACCATTTCGAAATTAAAATTTATTTACAAGAATTCATACACATTATTGAACAAAAATTTACATCCTGCAAGGTTTGTTACTAAAATTTTCATAAAAAAATTAAGAAACGCAAAACAACATTAAAGGATTGTAAACTAAAAACAATAGAATGTATTAATTACTGCCAGTTTTTAAAAAGCTTAATTTTAAGAACATATTTCTTATTTAGATCTTAGTATACTATTTTTATAGTTAAGCTGATAGTAAATAAAACTATTACCAAAGACATTAAAATATTAATAATCTCTTTCACCCATGTGGGTGATGCTCATTATATGTACATTTCCATCGTATATCATTTTTTTTTTTCAAAAATAAATTTTAAAAGTTTTATCTGTATTGTTTTTTGTTGTGCAGAAGCGGAGACCACCAGCTGATAAATTTTCAAATTTGCATGCTAATGAATTGCCTAGCACAGTTGTTGCAAAGTTTTTAACTTATGCTTGCGCTTGCCTGGAGAAAATATGCAGAGGGAGATTTATATGGTTGCCCAGCAGTATTGCCCACTAGGTAAATTGAGGTAACCGAACTAGTTTGGGCCAACGCCATTAATTGCATGTCGAACTTTGAGTGGCTTTCATCATAAAAGACGGGGTTAGATGAGTTATATTGGAGATGGTTAGTTAGAACTGGAATGCAAAAATAAATATTTGTACAGCAGCTAATTGAGAGGATATTTATCTTTCATTGTTTGCCGGGGTTACGTAAGTTCCTGCCAATTTCTAACTCATCGCTAACCTCCCAAATGTTTTGCAAAACTGGCTTATGAAAGCATGAGTTATGTGCCAAAAATATGACCCAGTTATTTTCTTACACTGCGTATGAATGCTTAAAATGGTGTAAAATAGTCAAAAACTGTTCGCACTTTCGAGGAAAAATTGATGACGAGCCAAGGATTCCACAACATATTTTTCCAAAGTGAAGTGCGCCTAAAAACCCTGTACAGATAGGCACTTTACTTGGTCTAGAGCCTTCAAGTTATTCAATTCGCTGCGACAAAACGAAAGGATTTCGAGAGCACTTGATTTGTAGAGTGTTTTAGGCACTCGTTTAATCATCCAACTATTCACGCATTTACCTTTCACTCCAGACTGATTCATTCATCTGCGTTTCATTCTATTTGAGTTTCCCTCGAATTGCATTCATGCATGGCAGCAGAGGACTTTCAATTTAAATGGGGAAAAGGCACAAGAAAAGGTGCTAGACACTCTAAAATTTTTAATTTATGATGAGATGTTAATTTCGTAAATAAACGCCCACCTGGCTCTAATGAAACGCTTTTAAATTAATTAAAAGAGAATGAAACGCAATAAAAACCGTACCGCAGAGCCAACATCTGTGCTACAGCTTTATATTTTTAACAAAAGGGTTAAGACACTTTACCAAAAATATATCAGATATTCTTATTATTATTCTTGCCGTTTTTGGCAACATTTTTAGCCATTGCCAGAAAAGTGAATTTGCCTTTTCTTTATTGGCAGACATAAGCCTATTTCGTGTAATTCAATTTGGCCAAGTAGGTGTATAAATTGGCATTTATTTCGGCTTTCATCAAGGGGCAATCATAAAAGTCAATCATAAGGCGAGGCCTAAAAGTGTTTTTGCGATTAAATTATGGAAAATGATGCAAAGAGCATTTAGCAAGGCTGCGTATAAAATGAAATGATCAAATGAGGAACATTAAAAATATCCTGCAGCTCTCTTCCATTTTGCCCCAATATTTATTGGCTGGCTAAAATATTTTCGCAACCCCAAGTCAAACAATTTATCGTCAGCACTTGGACATCCAAAGTTTTTGGGAGCTCAGCATCGCAACTCGCCACTTTGCTGTCCAAAAGTTTAAGTAAAAACTAAAACTTCAAACACTCAGCTGCAATACTCAAGTTAAGCGCTTCTCCTCGAAGTTTGACTACTGGAAAAATGTGCATTTCGCCAATAGGTGCCAAAATCTAATCAATAAATCTGGCAAAAAGGCAAACAAAATAATGCTCTTTCGAATATCTGTGATTAAAAGATTGTTAAATTAAAAGTTGGAATTTTAAGGAAAGATGAAATCATAAAAATTCATAAGTTTTAAAATACCAAATACACATTTGTATTATATTAAGTAATGTAACAATACTTTTTTCCCATGACTCTTACTTTTATTTAGAGCATACCAATATCCAGCAAGGGGGACTTTACTTGATGGCAATGATTCTCGTATTTCCAGTGATAGTTCTCCTCTCTGGTTATTTTGCAGTTTTCGATTTCCCAGCACGTTTGTGAAATAAAAAAGCGCGTACGTCACGCGGAGTTGGCTTGCTGAATAACAAAATCAGTATGCCACATCACAATTGCCAATGACAATCCCGCCAAGCTCTCCACATGAGTTGGGGCAATGGGTTAGAAAGCTTCCGAATGTCTTGGGGGGAATGGATGGATGGGTTGCAGTCCCAGTTGTTTTACATTTCTGCATCATTAGGTGAGAGCGAGTGGCTGGCAATATGCTAATAAATGTATGGACGTGTGTGACAGTCGGCAGTCAGGCTATAAAGGCTATAAAGCAAACAGCAGGAGGACTTTAAGTGGTTCAGAGATTCTCAGTGGATAAGACACTTGGCTTTGATGTTTGCCCCCATGATAACGTCTTATCCGATATGTTTTTTTTTTTGTTCCCTTCTTTTTTTTGGCACTAAATTCTAACAGCCGCATAAATTGCGGCAACGGGAAAACCCTGTAAAGC